CTTTTGTGAACTTTTAAAAACCCTAAATCTCCGCGTTGGGGCTCTTTAATCCTCCCTGCGTCACTGCCATTAGTCGAGTCCAATTACTTAAGTGTGTCAAACAAAACAAAGAGCTTTAATTACAGTTTCCATGGTAACCTTTAGCCCCGCCCCCGCCTTAACCCCCGCGCACTTTTTACATTCATTTACGTCTGAAGTCGGCGCTCCCCGTGGTTTGAACCGGGCCCGGGTCTGAACTGTTCTGACTAATGACCCCCCCGTCTCCATTTGGGACCCCCGACCGCGGCGCTTTAGGCCATTAGAGCGAAGGATTGTGGGTAAAAATGGCCCTATTAGAGGCGGCGGGGGCGTGGATGGATGCGGCGGGGTTAAGAGGGCTCTAAACTGGAGATAAGTCAAAGGGAAATGAGTTTGTAATTTAAGCAAAAACACCAGGAAACATAAAAATACAGTTATGTAAAAGGAGGACAAAGTTACTGCGGAATACTCTTGTTTTTAAAGGTGCACTGTGTAACTTTTCTCATGGAACGTGCGTCAAATGTCTGGAATGTTTCACAGAGGCCACGTTTACATGATGTTTTTTTAATTGTTCTGACTTAAATAGTTTGGAATTAAAATATTCTCCGTCGGGTTTACATGGAAATTCCAAATTGAGGTTTACACGGAAAACTCGTTAAATCGTTTTTATTTAAAGGTTGTATGGAGGATTTTTTTTAGTTTCAAATTGTCAGTGAAAGTTTAAAATACCATTACAGAGATGCAGCAGCTTTGTAATTACGACCAAAAAAAAAAAAAAAATAAAAATCGATCAACTGTGGACGTGTTGAGGCCAGACAAACATCAGCCAATAGATAACGAGGCTGCCTCATTTTCTATTGGCTGTTAGGTTGTCAATCAAACTCCCTACGTTTCTAGTGTAACTGACTCATCGGCGAGCGGGGATTACGCGGTTTACGCAGCGGTTCTTAAAGGCTTTTTTAAACTGTAGGTTCCTCACAGTTCTCACAAAGTTTGTTGAGATGGTGGACGAGAATCCACGACCGGTTCGCCGCAAGAGAAAATCAGTTTTTGATGTCGCTGAGAGAAGAAGAGAAGGGGAAATGAAACGAAGCCAAACTGAGGTGATTCTTGGAGATCTCGTCCAGCGATGGCGCGAATGAAGCAGACAAAGGGTCTAAAAACTGACGTGTCGGTCGCTAAATTATTTCTATACAGGTCACTTCAACGGTAATTCTGAACGCGCACTGGCTGTAAAAAAAACGTGATTTCTAGAGTAAAGAGGCGGGAGGAGGAGATGTTTCTACTGAGGCTGTGGAGGAGGAAGGTGGTGTCACACATGCACAACATTTGAAAAAGGACTGTCGCTGTATTTCTCTTCCCTTAAAAAATCCTCTATACAACCTTTAAATAGTTTGGAATTAAAATATTCTCCGTCGGGTTTACACGGAAAACTCGTTAAATCGTTTTTATTTAATTCCGCTCAGCGTCTGGGGGTGGGGAACCGGAAGAAAACACAGACACTTCAGCTGCGACCGGCTTTTCCGTCGTCGTTTGTCGTTACGCCGCGGACACAAACACGATCCGAACTTTTCCCACGGTCGTTCCCGATGATAATGAAGTGGCAGAATCCGTGTGTCATTCGTTTATTCGTTTTTCAATATAAAACCAAAAATAAGAAAACATTATTTGTCTCCAAAACCAAAATGAAAAAATGGAAAACGATTCGTTTTTTTTTTTTCAGGATTTTGAAAGTGTTTGAAAAACGGAAATGGAAAACCAGGACTGAACCAGGACGTGACTTCCCGTTGATGACTGAACCAGGACTGAAACTGAACCGGACTGAACCGGGGACTGAAACCAGGGACTGAACCGGGACTGAACCAGGTCTGAACCAGGTCTGAACCGGGACTGAACTCTGAAACCGGGTCTGAAACCGGGACTGAACCGGGTCTGAACAAGGACTGAACCGGACTGAACCAGAACCAGGACTGAACCGGAGACTGAACCAGGACCGGGTCTGAACCAAACGGGGACTGAACCAGGTCTGAACAAGGACTGAACCAGGACTGAACCAGGTCTGAACCAGGACTGAACCGGGTCTGAAACGGGACTGAACTGGGACTGAACCGGGACTGAAACAGGTCCGGGACCAGACAGGAACCAGACAGGGATTAGATCAGGACTGAGACCGGGACTGAGACCAGAACTGAGACCGGGACCAGGACCAGGACTGAGACTGGGACTGAGACCAGAACCAAGACTGGGACTGAGACCAGACCAGGACCAGACCGGGATTGAGACAGGGACTGAGACTGAGACCGGGACTGAGACTGGGACCAGACCAGGGCTGAAAACAGTTTAGTCCTGGTTCAGTCCTGGTTCAGTCCTGGTTCAGTCCGGCATCTCAGTTTAAATCACGTAACCGGTCACCGTTTTTTTCAAATTTTCATTTAAACACAAAATCGAAAACTGAAAAAAATGAATCATTATCCGTTTTTTTCATTTTGGTTTTGGAGATAAATAATTTTCGTTTTCTTATTTTTGGTTTTATTTTGAAAAACATATGAACGAATGACACGCGGATTTAAAACGTAGAGATAAAAATGGTGATTTGACGTGACATAAAGGCGCGTCGCTGTAAAACTGAACGGGAAAAACAGTTTAAAGCGCCTCGTTCAAAAGACTCGGAGGAAACAGGGGTCACTCGGGGGTCACTCGGGGGTCACTCAGGGGTCAAAGTTTAAAGCCCAAATGTGTAAAAAACGTCCAAATGACCGTAAACCCAAACAGCTTAAACAAACGTCTAACTTTACGACGTGAGCGTGGGTGAGAGTTCTCGCTCTTCAGGCCGCGCTCCGTGAAGATTCAGCTGCTATTTACCGGGGGTCAGGGGTCAAAGGTCAAAGGTCAGGGCACAACAGTTTGGGCGAAAATAAACAAAACTACAAACAAGAGAAAGTGGAAAACGTTTAAGCCTCTCGTGTTTAACTTTTGTTTACGGTAAAAACTAAAGACTGGATAATTTATGGGTTATAATAGAAGCAGTAGTATTCACAGTAGTAGTAAGTAGTAGAAGTAGTAGTATTCATAGTAGTAGTATCAGCAGCAGTAGTAATACTAGTTCCAGTAGTAGTAGTACCTGTAGTAGTAGCAATAGTATTCACAATAGGTGTATTCGCAGTAGTAGTAGCAGTATCAGTAGTAGTAGTAGTAACAGTAGTAGTATTTTCAGTATCAGTATCAGTATTCATAGTAGTTCCATTAGTATCAGTAGTAATAGTAGTAGTAGTAGTACTGGTAGTAGTAACAATAGAAATATTCACAGTAGTAGTAATAGTAGTAGTAATTGCAGTAGTAGTAGTAGCAGTATCAGTAGTAGTAGTATTTTCAGTATCAGTATCAGTATTCATAGTAGTTCTATTAGTATCAATAGTAATAGTAGTAGTAGTAGTACTGGTAGTAGTAACAATAGAAATATTCACAGTAGTAGTAATAGTAGTAGTAATTGCAGTAGTAGTAGTGGCAGTATCAGTATTCGTAGGAGTTCCAGTAATAGTAATAGTAGTGGTACCTGTAGTAGTAGTAGTAGTAGTATTCAGAGTAGTATTAGAAGTATCAGGTATCAGTATTCATAGTAGTAGGAGTAGCAGTATTTGTATTCGTAGAAGTAGTAGCAGTATCTGTAGCAGTAGTACCTGTAATAGTAGCGGTACTAGTAATAGTAACAGTAGTAGTATTTGCAGTACTAGTCAGCAGTATTCACAGCCGCAGTAGTAGCATAGCAGTATCAGTATTTGTAGTAGTAGTTCCAGTAGTAAAATAATGGTAGTAATACCTCTAGTAGTAGTAGGAGTTCCAGTATTCGTAGTAGTAATACAACTAGTAGTAACAGTAGTAGTATTCACAGTAGTAATATTCATAGTAGTAGTAGCAGTAGCAGTTAGTAGTAGTAGTAGTAACAGTAGTAGTAGTAGTAGTATCAGGTATCAGTATTTGTAGTAGAAGTAGGAGTAGTAGTAGTAGTAGTATCTGCATTTGTAGAAGTAGTAGCAGTATCTGTAGCAGTAGTACCTGTAGTAATAGTAGTAGTAGTAGTAGTAGTAGTCATACTAGTAGTAGTAACAGTAGCAGTATTTGCAGTATTTGCAGTAGTAGTAGCAGCATAGCAGTATCAGTTTTCATAATAGTAGTAGTTCCAGTAGTAACAGTAATAGTAGTAATACTTGTAGTAGTAGTAGTTTCCAGTAGAGTAGTAACAGAAGTAGTAAAAGTAGTAACAGTAGTAGTACTAGTAGTAGTAGTAGTAGTAGTAGTAGTAAGCAGTAGTAGTAGTAGTAACAGTAGTAGTAGTAGTAACAGTAGTAGTAGTAGTAACAGTAGTAATAGTAGTAGTAGTAGTAGTAGTAGTACAGTAGTAGTAGTAGTAACAGTAGTAGTAGTAGTAGTAGTAGTAGTAGTAGTAGTAGTAGTAGTAGTAGTAGCAGTAACAGTAGTAGTAGTAGTAACAGTAGTAAGTAAGTAGTAGTAACAGTAGTAGTACAGTAAGTAGTAGTAGTAGTAGTAGTAGTAGTAGTAGTAGTAGTAATAGTAGTAGTAGTAGTAAGTAACAGTAATAGTAGTAGTAAGTAGTAATAGTAGTAGTAGTAGTAGTAACAGTAATAGTAGTAGTAGTAGTAGTAGTAGTAGTAGTAGTACAGTAATAGTAGTAGTAGTAGTAGTAGTAGTAGTAGTAGTAGTAACAGTAGTAGTAGTAGTAAGTAGTAGTAGTAGTAGCAGTAACAGTAACAGTAGTAGTAGTAGTAGTAGTAGTAGTAGTAGTAGTAATAGTAACAGTAACAGTAGTAGTAGTAGTAGTACCTATAGTAACAGTATTTGTATGTCACATATATTTGTGAGTTTCTTACTTGACGTAGAAATCCAGATGTCGTGGAAATTCCAGTTTTCCGGCCAGGATCTTCTGGTAAATCCCAAACGGGTTGTCATCAAAGAAGGGCGGATACCTGCGGGAAAGAAAAACACAAATAATGAAATAAAAAAATAAAAAAATAAAATAAAATAAGTAGGAAAAAGAGTTGGAGCTGTCAGAGACTCGTCCGTTTGTCCCACAAATGAATCCTGGTGCGAAACATGACGCAAGCTTCAGGAGCCGAGAGAAACTCGCTCCTGCTGAGTTCAATCGCGGAAAAAAAACACATTTACTCCTGACATTTCAAACTTTTTCTACTTTTGCACAACTTTTACAACAAAGTACATGGATTTTACAAGGATTTAGAGTTAAAATTCCGTAAACGTGACCGATCTGTGTCCCTAAATCCGAGGTAAAAATGTAAAAAATTTAACAGAGATTTTACTGGAAACTAATGTAAAGATGATTTAGTTTTAATTACAAAATGATGGAAAAATTTGTTTAAACCAGGACTAAACCAAGACTAAACCAGGACTAAACCAGGGCTAAACCAGGACTAAACCAAGACTAAACCAGGACTAAACTAGAACTAAACCAGGACTAAACCAGGACTAAACCAGGACTGAACCAGGACTGAACCAGGACTAAACCAAGACTAAACCAGGACTAAAACAAGGACTAAACCAGGACTAAACTAGAACTAAACCAGGACTAAACCAGGGCTAAACCAGGACTAAACTAGAACTAAACCAGGACTGAACCAGGACTAAACTAGAACTAAACTAGGACTAAAGCAGGACTAAACCAGGACTAAAACAAGGACTAAACCAGGACTAAAACAAGGACTAAACCAGGACTAAAACAAGGGCTAAACCAGGACTAAACACGGAGTAAACACGGACTAAACCAGAACTAGAACAAGGATTAAAGCAGGACTAAACGAGGGCCAAACCAGGACTAAACGAGGGCCAAACCTGGACTAAACCAGGACTAAACCAGGGCCAAACCAGGACTAAACGAGGGCCAAACATGGACTAAACCAGGACTAAACCAGGGCCAAACCAGGACTAAACCAGGACTAAACCAGGACTAAACCAGGACTAAACCAGGGCCAAAAGAGTTACTGAAACATGTGTGAATGAAACAAAACACAACTCCAGGTCTGTTTTTGACACGACCTGAAGTTCACGGGAGTCTCGTCCCCCGGTCTCGTCCCTCCGGTCTCGTCCCCCCGGTCTCGTCCACCCGGTCTCGTCCCTCGGTCTCGTCCACCCGGTCTCGTCCCCTCGGGTCTCGTCCCCTCGGTCTCGTCCCCTCGGTCTCGTCCCCTCGTCCGGTCTCGTCCTCCGGTCTCGTCCCCGGTCTCGTCCGGTCCGTCCCGGTCTCGTCCCCTCGGTCTCGTCCCCCCGGTCTCGTCCCTCCGGTCTCGTCCCCCTCGGTCTCGTCCCTCGGTCTCGTCCCGCTCTCGTCGTCCCCTCCGTCTCGTCCCTCGGTCTCGTCCCCCGGGTCTCGTCTCCCCCTCCGGTCTCGTCCCCTCGGTCTCGTCCCCCGGTCTCGTCCGGTTCGTCCCTCGGTCTCGTCCCCGGTCCTCGTCCCTCCGTCTCGTCCTCCTCGTCTCGTCCCCCGGTCTCGTCCCCTCGGTCCGTCCCCCCGGTCTCGTCCCCCCGGTCTCGGTCCGTCTCGTCCCTCCGGTCTCGTCCCTCGGTCTCGTCCCCCGGTCTCGTCCCTCCGGTCTCGTCCCCTCGTCCCCTCCGGGTCTCGTCCCCCCCGGTCTCGTCCCTCGGCCTCGTCCCCTCCGGTCTCGTCCCCCGTCGGTCTCGTCCCCTCCCTCGGTCTCGTCCCCTCCGGTCTCGTCTCGTCCTCGGTCTCGTCCCTCGGGTCTCGTCCCTCGGTCTCGTCCCCTCCGGTCTCGTCCCCTCGGTCTCGTCCCCTCGGTCTCGTCCCCTCGGTCTCGTCCCCCTCGGTCCGTCGTCCTCGTCCTCGGGTCGTCGTCTCGTCCCCTCCGGTCTCGTCCCTCGTCTCGTCCCCGGTCTCGGTCCCCTCGGTCTCGTCCCCTCGGTCTCGTCCCTCGTCTCGTCTCCCGTCGGTCTCGTCCCCCGGTCTCCCCGGTCTCGTCCCCGGTCTCGTCCCCTCGGTCTCGTCCCCTCGGTCTCGTCCCTCCGGTCCGTCCCCTCCGGTCTCGTCCCCCTCCGTCTCGTCCCCTCCGTCTCGTCGGTCCCTCGGTCTCGTCCCTCGGTCTCGTCCCCTCCGGGTCTCGTCCCCCTCCGGTCCCCCCTCGGTCTCGTCCCCCTCCGTCCTCTCGTCTCGTCCCCTCGGTCTCGTCGTCCCCGGTCTCGTCCCCTCCGGTCCGTCCCCGGTCTCGTCCCCTCGTCTCGTCTCGTCCCCCCGGTCTCGTCCCCCCGTCTCGTCCCTCGGTCTCGTCCCCTCCCCGGTCTCGGTCCTCGTCCCCCTCGGTCTCGTCCCTCTCGTCTCTCCGGTCTCCCCTCCGGTCTCGTCCCCTCGGTCTCGTCCCCCCGGTCTCGTCCCCCCGGTCTCGTCCCTCCGGTCTCGTCCCCTCGGTCTCGTCCCTCCGGTCTCGTCCCCCCGGTCTCGTCCCGTCTCCCCTCCGGTCTCGTCCCCTCGGTCTCGTCCCCTCCGGTCTCGTCCTCCGGTCTCGTCCCCTCGGTCTCGTCCCCTCGTCTCTCGTCCGTCCTCGGTCTCGTCCCCCGGTCTCGTCCCTCCGTCCCCTCGTCCCCTCGGTCTCGTCCCTCGGTCTCGTCCTCCCCCCCTCGTCCCCCGTCTCGTCCCTCGGTCTCGTCCCCTCTCGGGTCTCGTCCCTCCGGTCTCGTCCCCCGGTCTCGTCCCCGGTCTCGTCCCTCCGGTCTCGTCCCCTCGATCTTGTCCCCCCGTCGTCTCGGTCTCGTCCCCGGTCTCATCCCCTCGGTCTCGTCCCCTCGGTCTCGTCCTCCGGTCTCGTCGGTCTCCCTCCGGTCGTCCCCCCGGTCTCGTCCCCCTCCGGTCTCGTCCCCTCCGGTCTCGTCCCCCGGTCTCGTCCCCTCTCGTCTCGGTCTCGTCCCCCTCGGTCTCGTCCCCTCGGGTCTCGTCCCTCGGTCTCGTCCTCGTCTCGTCCCCTCGTCCGTCTCGGTCTCGTCCCTCGGGTCTCGTCCCCTCCGGTCTCGTCCCCCCGGTCTCGTCCCCTCCGGTCTCGTCCCCTCGGTCTCGTCGTCTCCCTCGGCCTCGGTCCCCCGTCTCGTCCCCTCGGTCTCGTCCCCTCGGTCTCGTCCCCTCGATCTCGTCCCTCGGTCTCGTCCCCTCGGTCTCGTCCCTCCTCGTCCCTCGTCTCGTCCCCCGGTCTCGTCCCCTCGGTCTCGTCCCCTCCGGTCTCGTCCCTCTCGTCCCCTCCGTCTCGTCCCCCGGTCTCGGTCCCCTCGGTCTCGTCCCCCCGTCTCGTCCCCTCGGTCTTGTCCCCTCTCGTCCTCCGTCTCGTCCCCTCCGGTCTCGTCCCTCCGGTCTCGTCCCCGGTCTCGTCCCCTCGGTCTCGTCCCCTCGGGTCTCGTCCACCCGGTCTTGTCCCCGTTTGACTATCGCTCGCCTCTTTTTTTCTCCTCTTTTTTGCTTCTGTCTGTTCCTTTGACCCAGATTCCTCCATCATGACTTCACCTTTCTGCACCGACTCTCGTCTCCTCTCGCTCTCCTCTCGTCTGCTCTGATTTCAAACATTCGCCGGTGCCGTTTTTCTCACACACAAACGTAATACTCCTCGGCCTCGCGTCTGTCCCATTATGTAATTTGGGGGAAAATGAGTCGCCCGAATTGAAACTGCTAAAGTCATCAGACGGAAGAAACGAGGAGAACGAAGAGAAGGAGGACGAAGAAGAGGAGGAGGAGGAGGAGGAGGAGGGCTGGCAGCATAATCATAATATAAGGGGGAATAAAGGAAGCTTTGTTTGAGTTTCAGACCCCGAAAACCACCGCGGGGCTGTTTAAAAGAAACGTCAGGCCCAAATGACATCATGAAGTGAAAGAACAGCAAATAAAAGAGTCAATCACGCTCGGCGAAAATGGAAAAATCCGCCGACGAACGTACACACGACGGGTTATTTAAGTTAACGCCGGGGCTCGGGCTTCAAATTAGCAGGAATTCCACGGGTCGAAATAGGCCTGCGTTCAATTATACTGCGTTTTACGGGTCAAAGCAGCAGGAAGTGCGTGTTAGCATGCCAGCTGCTGCCGGCTTTACCGTACCAGGGAGTTAACGCGGAGCTCCAACTTCAAAATTAGGAGAAATTTCACGGGTCGAAATAAGTCTGCATCCAGTTATAGTGAGTTTTATTGTTTATTGAGTGTCAGGAAGTGCGCGTTAGCATGCTAGTCGCTGTCGGCTTTACCGTAACATTGATACGAGGAGGTTAACATGGAAACTCGAACTTGAAAATTAGGAGAAATTTCATGGGTCAAAATAAGTCTGCAGCCAATTATAGTGAATTTTTACTGTCAGAGTAGCAGGAAATGCACGTTAGCATGCTAGTTGCTGTCAGCTTTACCGTAACGTTGATACGAGGAGGTTAACATGGAAACTCGAACTTGAAACTTAGGAGAAATTTCATGGGTCAAAATAAGTCTGCAGCCAATTAGAGTGAATTTGATTGTTTATAGAGTATCAGGAAGTGCGGGTTAGCATGCTAGTTGCTGTCAGCTTTATCGTAATGTAAAGACCAGGAGGTTAACATGGAACTCAAACTTGAAAATCAAAAAAATCAGTCTGTGTTTTACCGTCTGCATCCAATTATACTGCGTTTTATTGCCTATTGAGTATCAGGAAGTGCACGTTTGCATGCTAGTTGCCGTTAACTTTACCGGAAAGTTAACATGGAGCTCGAACTTCAAAATTAGGAGAAATTTCACGGTCAAAATCAATCCGCGTTGTACCGTTCGCAGCCAATTAAAGTAAGTTTTATTGATTACTGAGTATCAGGAAGTGCGTGTTAGCATGCTAGTTGCTGTTAGCTTTATCGAGAAGTTAACATGGAGCTTGAACTTCAACTTAAGAGGCATTTCATGGTCAAAATAAGAGTGCGTTGTGCCTCCTGCATCCAATTATACAGCGTTTTATTG